GACCTGGAGACATGCTGCCCTGGTGCGCACGCATGAGCCGTGATTGGGAGCCAACCCGATGCCATCTATTGATAAACACCAACACCGAAAATGAAGCTTCATAAAGATCTATAACCAAGGGGAACCTAGGGCCATCGCCTGTGTAAACTGTGAGCTTTCTGCTGGTCAAGAGACGTTGCCTTTCAAATTCCAAATATCCGGTGGCTCTCCAAGGGCACATTGGTACCTCCAGCGGTGGCAGCCTCTCTGGGAAGAAAAAGCAAGCCCTTCACCAGCTCGCCGGGGTCCTCAAGCTACACCGGACACCTCAGTCTGTCACCCGTGACCCTTCACTGGGTGCCGGCGAGGCTCCTGCAGCTCCATCTCTATGTAGACTCCCAACCCTGGGGAACCAGGGAGGAGTCCGTGGAGTGCGCCTTGATCTCTCCTCTCCAGCTCTTGCAACGCAGGGCTCTGAGCCAGTTCTTCCCTTTCCATCATGGCTGACGAAGCCTAACCAGAATGCATCTGAAGTTGTAAAGTGCCAGCATACTGGAATAGGGAGAATTACAGGTTGATGCCCTGCTAGAAACCTTAATCTCCCTCTTGAAAATCAAGGGCAGCCTGAGGATCGCATAGCATCCAAAGCTCTCCACTGGCAGAGTCTGAAACAATGGTGCCCGGCTCAGAGACGGAGGCCAACCACACCATTCTGAATGTGAGTCACCCTCCACAGTCCTGGCAATAATCCAATCTCCCACTTCAGGCTCCTGAAAGGCTTACTCTGCCTCTTCCAAGTCAACCATTCCAAGACTGGGAGCCCTAATTTTTCCAATGCTGGTTATCATTCTGGTAGACTCTTATTTTAGACATTCAGGGTAGACTCTTATTTTAGACATTCAGGGTAGACTTATTTTATGCATTCAGGGCTGCTCTGATTTTGCTGTGTTAGCGATGGATGAAGCCATGGCTTGAAGACTCGCTGCTTTGATCCTTACCGTAACGCTACCCAGAGTAAGTTTCAGACAACCCTCTTCACCTGCACAAATGTGCACACACACATACCTGTTGCATGTCTACAAGGTTAGTCTCTTACCCTACAGGTGTCAGCTGAGAATCCCTACTGTCTTCCCAGACACACCCATCCACCTTGGGCGAGGAACCCCTTTCAAATACTACCCTAAGAAGCCCCTATCTTACTTATTACTGTGTTGATTTACCTGCCCTTTTATTTGTGTGACTCCTCCAATTCCTTAAGTACAAGGACTTTGTTCTACCAGCTAGGGTGGCTCACGCAGAACAGAGTCTTGCCATAGCATGTGCTCATTCACTGTTGAGTAGCCGGCTAGAGGAAGCTCAAACAGCCCAGAACACCATTCCCAATCATGCACTGGCTTGGTTTACAACCTGGTTCACAGGATCTGAAAAGGATGCATCCAGCTACTTCTGACACCAACCAGACCACTGGTGGGACCCAAGACCAGGCTCCTGGCCCTGTATCCATCAAGCATGTTCCAACCAGGTAGATCCAGAGCAAGCCCTATAAGTCGGGAAGTTGAGCAGGTAACCAGAAAGTCAAAAGGCAGAGGGCTGGAACAGCACAATCTTTTATAGAAGTTCCAAGATGCACTGACCCCAAGATCCCATTATGCCTTAAGTATCCAAGCATTTATTTTTATTTTATTTTTTGCCTGCTGCTCCAAGGGCAATAGAGGTAGCCGTCTGCTCCCACCAAGATGACGGCCTTGGAAATGCTTGCGGGGAGGTTCTACGCTGTCCTAGGGAGGCAGTGACGAGTTGGAACCGAGTTTAGTCTGGGTGTTAGTTTTTGGTTTGGGTAAAAAATGAAAACGAGTACCAGTGAGTTTGCAACCTGTGCAGTAAGCCCAGGAAACAGGAAGAGATAAAAACCTTTGAAAGCCGACTCTCATAGGTGATAGAATATATTCCTAGGATTATAGGATTAAGGTATTCGTGTTCACATAAGTATAGAATATTTTTGTTTTGTTCACTTATAGAATGTTATATTTAAATGAGAGTGGCACATTTTTGAATTGTATGCATTTTAGTTTTACCCTGTTAGGGACAGGATTTTATTCTTTTTTGTTATGATTTTATTATTGTTTGTTTGAAAATTATATATGGCTAAAGATTTGTTTTAAAGTTGACAAGGGGTGGTCTGTGGTCGTTATATAATCTGTTGTCAACTTGAGACTTAAGAGAGAAGGGGTAGAGTTTAGCCTGTCAATCAGGTTGCAGATTGATGACCTCATTTGAAGGTGCTAAGGAGATAAATAGCTTGTTGGAGGCAGGACACAGACTCACTCCCTGAAAGACATTCCTGTTGACAAGCCACATGGAGCTATGCTGATGGCAGCCAGAGCCTTGGATCTGGAGGAGCCACATGGAGACCCATGCCAGCACTAAGATGCTTCCACCACCATTGGATCCACAAGACTTTCCACCCACTGGCCTGTGATCTTCCTGAACTCAGCATCATTGCATGTGTTGTGTGAGTCTGAAGAGGAATTTAGAGACTGGTACTAGACATACATTACAGGCTAGTATCGGACTTATGGACTTGATCTGGACTGGGCTGGGATACTTTTTTAATGTAAAATTACTCTTTATATAAAGCTCTTTTCTATACACACACAAAAAAAACAAACCTCTGAAAGCCAGCTGTGGGTCCAGAGGGTCCTCAATTGCCTGGTCACTGGCCGGCCCCCCTCCCGCCACTACCCGCATTGACAGTCATGGGGCGCATGAACAAGGGTGTGTGTCACATCCTAACCCCTTTACCAGGTTAAGGAGCCCTGGTGGCACAATGGTTATGAGTTTAGCTGCTAACCAAATGACCAGTGGTTGAAACCCACCAGCCACTGCAAAAAAATCGGGGGGAGGCAGGGGGGTCGGGGAATATTGTTGGATTTTTGCTTTGTAGCCACAATTCTAATTTAGAATCATGCTGGTTACCACCAAAGCACTAACTTCCAAACACCTTAACGGCTGGTGGCCTGGGTCCCTTTATTGGTTAAATCAGTAAATGCACATGCTGTCGGGGCTGCTGGGAGGGCTCCCTGAGACAATGGATGGAAGGCATTTACTATGGCACCCAACACGTGCCTACTGGTGTTCTCATTAGCATTGGCACCCTTACCCTTGTGGGCCGGTATTCCACGGAGCAGAGCACTCTACAGTCCACTAGTCAAGCAGGAGCCACGAGATTTGACTAGAACTCAGCCCCCCAAATTCAAGCACACCAACACACATTAAGCATGGCACGGAGCCGGCCACGCTGACAGCACAGGAACCGGAAATGACAGAGCGCCTGTAAACGGAGCCACAGGGACACGGGGTCCCCGGCTTACACTGAAGAAATGAAGCAACTCAAACCCAAACCGAAACAAAGGAAAAGGGCAGAGAGTGCACGGAGGACAGAGAGCAGGGAAAGAGGAGGCGGAAAGGAGACAGAAGAGAACAATTAAATGCGAGGAGACTTGGAAACGCCCCTGGGGAAAGCCCGTTATCATTTAGATCCCGTTTTCCCATAAACCTTTTGATGCCCCTTTGCGGGTACATAAAGGCCTATCTTAGCATTGTGATTCTGGATTATGTGTTTTCTCATCTATCTATTGAAACTACCGTCTCCCTACAGAGAAAGGCGCAGGCACTAAGACAAAGAACGTATTGACCACTTGCTTGTTACAAATCATCATCCACCCTAATTAATTAACTGGACAAATGGCTATTCACAAGGATGCTAGTAATTTTATTTGGTGGTGTGACTATCAAAGCTCCATGCTAGAAATGCCTTACTCGTGTGACTACTCTTCAGAGCGGTGCTTTCACGGTCCTTTCGCTGCTGGTCTAAGTACACACATCACTTGCAATATAACCTCACGAAGTCGACATTGGCCTCTAGAGACAGGGTGTCATTCACATCGTCAGCTGCTCTCCAACAACTACTCTTTAGTTAAAAATACACAGTAACTCAAATGTCTTCAGCTTAAAACATAATCTCCCGCCTTTCCAACGAACACAGCCTTTTGGCTCAGCACAAGCTCTAAGTGCATCTTTTCGTTCTCCTCCTCGAGCTGGGTCTCCTCTCGTTGCTACATCATGAAAGTCATAGGTTCCGGTCTTAAACAATTTTCTCATCATAATGCACTGATTTCTCATCAAACGGCTACTTAAATGGTCCCGCCACCCTTTTTATTTATTGACTCATTTATTTATTACCATTTTTCTCCCAAAACAACACTTTTCTTCTAGCACCCAACCAGCCCTAAGGGCTAGAATCCAGAATCTTATCAAACTTGACTTTGTCCTTCCACCACACCCAGCCACCTGATCACCCGAGTTTTTTTCCCCCCAAGAGAAGTCAAAAGATAATAGAAACCAGGATAAATTTAAAATGGGACAAAAGTAAAAACAAAGGATAATATGTTACGTTTTAAACTACTATATCTGCCGTAATCTACTGTCCAATGCAATTTGTCTGAAAGCAAGATTATTCACATTCTTGGTCAACGGACCAAGAAAATTCAATGAAGGCCAAGTTTGCAAATGGATTTTGGGCTTTCACTGTCCTCCGTAACTTTCTGTAACCCAGGGACACAGAATTTAAGCTTTAATACAGTTCCCTTCTCTAATCTTGGATTTTTTAATTTACAATTCTTAAATCACAAGGGCTGATGTGCTCCTTCTGTGTAGACTTAGCTGACACTTGACATTCTTATTTCTGATCTTGCCCTTTTACCTTCCACTCCAAATCACAGTCCCATAAGGTGTCATCTGTTTAAAGGTGCTATGTATCACTGTGGCCCCCTGCGTGCGCACGCACACACATATGCACCCAGAACCCTGGGGAACAAATTAAAATGTCATGGACATGGACACCACTGGCTTGGACACCGAGTCTAGTATTTTCCACAAACTTTGCTGGCAGAGAAAGACTGAGAAGAGAAAATAATAAGAATAACTTCCACTTTCCAAAGATCCCCCAAAGATAGTCCTACCTTTCCCAAGATTTGGAGGAAACGGCCTTCCAAACTCCTGCTGCTTTGGCTTTACAAGATGTGGCCCGGCCAGTGCCCCAGCCTGAGTGGCCTGGAACCGAGGCTTGCCATTGGTCAGTGCTTGTCTCCGGGGACTCAGAGCCGGCAAGTGGAGCAGACTCTCGCCCATGTTGCCCTGGGAGACTGTCCCTCCTCCTGTGGGCATCTTGAGATGGAGGCTGCTGGTGAAGCTTCCAAGACCTGGGCTCGGGGAGGTGCCACAAGGCGAGGGAAGGGGAGTCCCCACGTGGGCACGCAGAGTAGGGATGTGGGGGCCACTGGCCATCCCGGGCCCCTGGGGGGGCCCTGCCGTCCGGTGCAGATTCATGCCACATGCCCTTCCAGTCATTCTGAACAGCCTGGGGCCAGCAGGATGGGCAGTCTCCAAGGGCTCGACCCTCTCCGCTCAGGCCAAGTGCAGAAAGTTGTCCATGGTGTGGGTCAGAGCCTGTTTGAGAAAAATAAAGGGAGGCGTTTCGTAAAGGAAAAATGAACATTGGTACCAGTGAGTTTTCAGCCTGTGCAGCAAGCACGCCCAGAAGGAAGAAGCATATGAAACCAGATACCTGGGTGCAGAGGAGGGTCCTGGCTTGCCTGGTCACTGGCTGGCACCCCTCCCGCCACGACAGTCGTGGGGTATGCGGACTAGGGTGTGTAGCAAATCCTAATTCCCACACCGGAGCTTAAGGGGTCCTGGTGGCACTGTGGTTCAGTGTATTCAGCTGCTAACCAGAAGGTCAGCAGTTCAAACCCACCAGCCACTGCAAGAGAAAGATGGCGCATTCTGTTTCCATGAAGATTTGCAGACTTTGAAACTCTACTGGACAGGTCTGTCCTATCCTATGAGTCAGAGCCCACTGTTTATGAGCCAGTGACTGTCTATACCTGTCGTGATAATCCTACTGGAAATAGAGTTTGGTGATGGTCACGAGGCAGGATGGGTGTGGGGTCACCTCTTCCAGCACTTTCTGTTTGGAGTTCTGTTTCCCCCTCCTGGCGAATGGAGACAGTTCGTGTGGTATTTCTGTCACGGCAGCGGCTTTCGGTGACTGACACAGGCGTTATGTCTGTCATAGCAACACTGGAGAACCGAGGCAGGACATGCGTGGTATTTCCGTCATAGCAGCGGCTCTAGCTGACTACCGGCACAGTACACGAGTGTTATTTCTGTCGTGGGGCACTAGGTGAGGACCATGTGACATTTCGCCACAGGACTGGATGACTGAGCCCATACATGTGTGGTACTTGTGTCAGAGCAGCAGCACTGGATGACAGAGACCTGGTCACTGAATCAGTTAGCCACCAGTCCCTTTTCGACACAGTGCCTGTCTACTGGTCAGCCTGTAAAAGGCAACTCACGTTGCTGTCTAGCACATCAGGCGCTGCGCGCTGACTCCTGCTCCGTTAGCACAGCCTATGTGAGCTGTGAGACCAAGGCTTCAACGCCAACCAACCCAGGCCCTCTGCCAGCGAGTTGATTCTGACGCTCAGAGCCCTGCAGCGCGCAGCGCAGAGCTGCTCCCGACAGACAGAGGGCAGCCACCACTTCCCGACAATCGCAAAGAAAGCGTGCAGTTCTGCCCCATGCCAGGTCAGCGGGAGCCAAAGTCGACTCATGGTCAAGGAACAGCAACAAGCAGCCACTTCTGAGCTGCACTCTGAGAGCATCCTGGTGCACGGTCCTCAGAAGCACCACTCCCACGAAGACGGGCGCAGATCCCCATGCACTGTCATCGACTTGGCTGCCGTGGCCTTGGTTTTCTGCCTCGATTTACCAAAGATCAAAACCTGGGCCTTGGACTATCGTTTAGGTGAAGGTTGGCAGGCCTTCCCAACGGCATAGGGACCTTGATTCCAGCCTGATTTGACGATGATGCTGGAAACAGAAGCAATCCCACAAGGCTGCTGTTCCAGGAAGATCCAACGAACGTAAAAGGGCTATGGGAAAATAACCTCATGGAACCAGAAGGAAAGGCTGAAACCAAACCCACTGCCAAGGCATCAGTTCAAACTCAAAGCGCCCCCAAAGGGCAGAGGAGAGCCAGCCCACAGGGTTTCACAGGTTGTATGGCACCTGTAAGGGGGGTGCAAGACCAGGCTGTATTTCATTCTGTTGTGCATATAGGGCTGCTCTGGGCTGGAACTTTCTCCATGGCACTTAACAACAGCAGCAACAGGTCATGGTCTTTCTTCTGAAGAGCTCCTGGTGGGTCCAGAGAGCCAACCTTTCCATTAGCAGCTGCGCACATCACCACTGCGCTGCCAGGGCCCCTTAGAAAGGAAGACAGTGCTTCCAGAGCAGAACTCTCCAGGATGCTCACCCTGGACCGCATGAGGGAAAGTGGCCACAGTCCTAGGGAGCTTCCTGGGGCAGAGAGGAGCACCTGGCATGACCACAGAACACACTGTCCACCTGTCTGTGACGATGACAGTATTCTTTCATTGTCAACCACGATGGGAGGCCCTTCCCTGCCTTGGCCAATGGTGTTTTCAGCCATTGAGTCAGCTCACATGCATGTGTAACAGGAAAAAACACACCTGGTCTTGTACCACCTTCATGATCAAGCTATGATGACAATATGTCTGACACCAGCGGCACCATCGGGGTCACCTGTAGCTCAGCTCAATCTGGAATCCAGGTTCTCCCGCTGCTGTGAATGCCTACCAACCTTTACCTAAATCCGCATTGTTTCCAATGAAAGTAGAGGCACCCGTGGTGGAGACGGTCCAGCAGAGCTTCCAGACTGAGATGGACAAGGAAGAAAGGCCCATGACCTACTTTCAAAAACCAGCCCACAAGACAGTGATGGTGTAAGATATGAAAATAATGATTTATAATTTATCAGGGGTCCATGAGGGTGGCAGGGTAGGGGAGGGAGGGGGGGGGAAGAGGAGCTCATACCAAGGGGTCAAGCAGAAAGACAATGTTTTGAAAACTGATGGCAACATATATAGATGGATTTGATACACTTGATGTATGGATGGTTGTAAGAGCTATAAGAGCACCCAATAAAATGAGTTATTAATTAAAAAAAAGATCAGCCCATGAAAGCCCTATGGATCACAACAAAGCATTGCCTTGACCGGTAATCCCCCCGCAATACAGCATACGGCATAGTGGTGCCACTAGACAATGAACGACAGCTGCAACCACAACCTCTAATCATTTATGGGGACATGAGAGACGGGAAGGAAACCACAGTGCAGCAAACACAGGAAAAGAAGGCTGAGAGCAAACCAGTGGGAGTCTCACCCACCCTACTACCAGGGAGTCAGTTCTGATCCAGAGTGACCCGTTAGGATGAAGTAGAAGTGCTCAGGGGGTTTCCAAGGCTGGCATCTTTATGGACACAGACCGCCAGGTCTCCCTTCAGAGAAGCTACTAGTGCTTTCGAACTTCCCACCTCTCAGTTGGCAGCCAGGTGCTTAACCACTGTGCCACCAGGATTCCTTCAGTAGAAGCCAGAAAGCCTCCATCGGATCATCTTTTTCTGCCTGATTCTCTCAATGCCGCAGGCAAATATTTTAAACTCAGCCCCCTCACCACTGACATTATAAATCACCAGAGAGAAGGAAGAGAGAGGTCCTTACAGGCAAACGTCTTGTGAGGAATTTCTTCTTGTTCTTTTATCACTTTAGAACATCAAAAATATCTCCAAGTCGAAGCACTCGCTCAACCTTCAGAAAAAATTTTTACTGTGGCTTCCTCCGTGTGGTGACTGTTCTCGTGAGGTGCTACTGAGCCGGTTCCGACCCACAGTGACCTTACACACAACAGGTCGAATCCCCGCACTCTCTCCTGACAACATGTCAAATACATACGATGAATTCTTGACATCCTCGCCTCCAAGGAGCACTCTGACCTCTAAGGAGCACTCTTGCTTCCTCTTGCTTCCAATATAAAATTTGAAAAAATCATTTTTATCACTTCTTCATTCTATTCAGGGTCCTATCAGTCTTGGACTTTTCATCAAGGCATGGCATCTTGTCCAAGAAAAAAACCATGGTTTTCGTCTAAGCTCCCTCCTTCCCTCCCACCCCCTCCATGAGAGTCCACCCTGAACGAACAAATAACTTCAGGTTATCCACTCTGGGATCACTCAAGTATGTACGTGGAACAGTAGGAAACAGATCGATTGTAAGATTTTTGCTCGGGAAAAATACCGACACGTTTTCTGTTGCTCCGGTAAAGAGAATCCTAGAATGCTACCTGCCCCTCTGTCACTCTGTGGGTTGTCTCCATGCCTTACTAGATAGACACTGTAACCCCTGCCGGTGGGTGTCGTCGCTTTAGACTCCGAGGGACTCCGTGTGGCAGCGTGGAAATTTCCCGGCCATCATCCTGGTGCTGTCTTTATGGAAGCCGATGACAAGTCTGCCTTCCTGGGGAGATCCTGGAGGGCTTGAACCCACCCATCTTTGGGTAAGCGGCCAAGCGCTGCACCCTTGCACCCCCAGCACTCCCATTCCCAGATACAGTTGTCAGTAGGTGCTTTGGGGTGGATTCAACTCAGAGTCACCCAATGAAAAACCAAATGGACCCCCACCTGGTCTCACATCACCCTCACAGACGCTGCTGTTTGAACCACCTGTTGCCGTCGGAGTCAACCCCCATCTCATCGGAAGCACGTCTCACATGGTCTTCTACCCTATAGCAAGCATGACGCTCTTCTGCAGGACAGCTCCCTGCTGATACCGCATCCGAAAGGCCTCTGACAAAGTCCTCCTCATCCTCCATCCTCAGGGGCGTTCTAGCTGTAGTTAGTTCTCCCAAGGGAGAACAATCAGTCATCCCGGCCGTCTACTCCCCAACTCATTGATGGGAATATCTGGGAATTCTGAACTCTGCCAAAGAGAACTTTCTTCAACAGCCACCCCACCCCCACCCCGCAGGGCCCCCACCACTTATTTTTTTTAATTGTAAAAGAAATATGCGGTGTTGGCAATGGGACCGCAACCATGAGTCACGAAGACCACGGTCCAAATGACAAGTGTCTGCAGATTTACAGACCGCACCCATTTCCAGGCTTTGAAGAACAGGGCACCATTCCTGGCAGCAAGACCACATACAGGAGGGAATTCTCATCCAAGAAGCCGGATAAAAAGCATATGTGGGCAACTTAGCACTAGCTTAGATCATTAAGGAGGTGAGTTTGCACGAAGGAAAAATAATTAAAGTGCCGAGAACTTAATTAGCCATCAGACACACTCACACCTGCCTGCCTTGAATGAGAGGTTTGCTTTCTTTTTGTTTTTGAACCTGCATTCCTCTTTGAAATCACTAGGGTTGAAAGTAGAAACAACAACAACACACACACACACACACACACACACACACACAGCACTTAAATTTTATTACTAACATAGCAGCAGTGAGAAAGTAAAGTAATTAATAACTCATACCCTAAAGAAAAACCAATTGCTACATGGCATGTGAGCTAAGAAAAG